CCCCCCCCCCCCAGTGACAGCAGCACCCTGAAGGAGGTAAAATGCAGTAAGTGCTGCTTCCTCCCTCAAGCCTCCTCACCTTTGCTTTCCTCTTCTGCTGTCTCAGGGCATCTTTCGCCCTTTCCTCATCTTTGAAGGCTTTTAGCTGAGAGAAGGAGGGAAGGAGAGAAGACCGTTAGCCTAGGTGTTTCCTGGCCAGGCCTGGATCCAGGGCCTAACCAACTGCAGGGTTGACCAGCCAACGCATGAGGCACCGCTCTGGGCTGTGCTGCCTGGCCCAGCCCCGGGAAAGGGCCCTATGAGACACAGCACAGCCCAGGCTGCAGCCTGCAAGTAAGGCCTGCTCACCCATCACTGGGGGTGGTCTGAACACAGGTCAGGAGGGTTGCGTGAGCCTCACTGCTTCCGTGCTTTCGCATTAACACCTTTCACTTCCAATGTGGGAGAGAGTGGATGGCTCAGAGCTAACTCCTAAATTTGCTCTTTTAAGGCATGAAAACTGACTGTGGAAAATCAGAGCTACAGGTCCGAGAAGGGAAGGGCCTTTCCGAGGGCCACAAAATGTGGCAGCAGAGCTGAAAGGAGGATCAGTGAGTGTCCTGACATCCAGTCTCACCAGGGACCCTCCAATCCATGCCCCCTCCCCGTGAGGACAGCCAGCTGCCCCCTCCTTGGTCCAGCTCTTGTCACCTGGGCATGTGACAGGGTGACCTGGGCTTGCAGTTTCTCCACCTGCTTCTTCAGCTCTTCCTTCTCCTCATTCATGCGCTCCCGGTCGCTGCGCTCCCTCTGGAAGTCCTCCTCAAAAATCTTCACCTGAAGGGGTGGGAAGGGGTGGGGTGGTAGGGAGAAAGGGGATGAGGCAGGAGGGGCAGTTCTGAGTGGAGGCTGAGACCTGCTCGGGCCTAGAACCCCGGGCCTCCTGATGGGAGTCAGACATCAAAACTGGTTTCACCGCATCTCAAAAATCCCCGTGGGGAGGGGAACAGGTGTTCCTCTGGCCCCCTACCCCCAAGTTCAAACAGAGTAGTTCTGGGTCTGTCTATCTTATATTCTGGGCTTCAACATAGGGCTTTATTTGAAAAAAGGATCCACGCCAAAAAAGAAAACAACAGGTTGACAGCCATCAACCAGTCCCATCTTCTTCTTCTGCTGAGGCCCACAGAGAGGTGGAGGCCACAGCAAAAGAATATGAGTGGAGGACTGGAGTTCCAGTCTCCTGGCTCCCAGAGCAGAGGGCCTACAAACTCTCCCAAGGCTTTGGGGTGCCCTGGCAAGGAAGGGACGGGGTGGGGCCCTGTCTCTGCCTCTGCAGTTTCACATCCTTACTGCAGATCAGTGAGAAGCCGACCAGGCTCAAAATGATTTAGAAGGATCGAAAGCATGGCACCAAACACCACAGAAACACGTTGAGAGAACCAAAACCTTTTCAACTTCCTTTCAATTCTCTGTGTCCCTCAAGAAGAAAGTCTGCATTTTATGCTACTGTGTCTTTAACAGGTTTCTAGTACTTAACTTCCCTTAAATAAAGGGAGAGACGACTCAAGCTCAGAGTCTTCATCAGGCAACAGTGTCTAGCTAGAGTTCAACTACACTATTTTACCTTTTACTGTATTCATTGCTTATAGTTACTTTCTATTTATGGCAAATAATAAACAGGTTTTCCCATTTATAGTAGAAATTTAAGTTCCCTTTTAAATATATTTATTGAATTTATTTGAAAATTTGTTTTCAAAATATTAGGTAAATAATAGCACAGCTGGGGCACAGAAATGTTTAAGCCATGATGGTGGTAAGAGGAATGACCTAGATAGCGATACACTGGTAGTGAGGATAAGCCTATATCCAGACAGGGGTCCTGGCCAATGGCCAGAAAGTGGGTGACAGATTACAGCTTCCACATGGTTCAAGGCCCATCCTGGGCCCTCAGGAATGCTCCAGCTCCCACTGGGCACCTCCTACCTGACCTCTTCCCCCTAGCCTCACCTGCTGTTTCAGCAATTCATTCTGCGTGACCAGCTCCTGTTTCCTTAGCAGGCCTCCAGCTCCTTCCGGGCTCCCGAATGCTGCTGCTGGAGATGAAGGGGAGGCCTGGATACTCAGTGCTTCCTCCAGGGCCTGGAATCAGGAACAGAGGAGATGGGCCCATCAGCAGAAAGCCCCTGGAAGTCAGGCCTCATTGGAAGGGTCAGGCCCCACTGAAAGGCCCCTTTCCTGATAACAATAATAATAACCACCACTATTTAATAAGTGCTATCTTATTTAGGAACACTATACACACATCATTTCACTGAATCCTCGCCACAGTCCTATGAAGAAAAGATTGTGACCATCATCCCCATTTTATGGATGTGAAAACTGAGGTTCAGAGACCTGAAGTGATTTGTCCAAAGTCACACAGCTACTAAGAGGCAAAGCAGGGATTCAAAGCCAGCGTGTGCTCTTAACCAGCAGCCTAACGTGTGGTCTTTATGTAGAAGGGAGAAATCTCCTTTCCTGAGGATGAGTGGCTCAATTCTTAGCACCCAGACCTAGAAAGAATACTAAGTCCTTTGGAGGAAGAAATTTCAGTCTCCTCGACAACTGCCTGCCCTGTGATTCTTCAGCTTCCGTAACCCATTCCCACCAAGCCAACCTCTCCATCCCCAGCTCTTCTGTATTAGATTAGCCTGGATTTTAATTTTGACTTAATTAATATTTTACCTTTCCAACCCTGAAAATGGGCTGAAACATCACCAAATAGCATTGTGAAAATTTTAAAAGCACCCCTATTTTACCATGTCCGCAAGATACCTTTCCTTACGTAAACAGTGTGCTTACATTCTCTTAAAAGTTTTCCATTGACTGATTTTCTCCTTCAACCCTGTTAACGTGTCGCTTGAGAACTTTGGAACACCTCTCAAGCCTGAACACCCTCATCACCACCTGGACTTTAGCTCCCTAGACAGCAGGGCCTCTGCTGGCCATGCGTCAGCACTGCTCACAGTGCCTCCCTGGACCTTGGGGAGATAAAGGAAACCTTCCCCAACTTGGACTTGGGCCCCACTTGATCTCCAAGACTCCCCCAGAAACATGAGGAAACTGCTGAGCCAAGAGTAAACTCAGGATGCTCAAGGGGCAGCTATGGCTGCACTGCACCCTCCTCCTCCGTCTGCCCCATTTTTCAGATGAGTAGGCTGAGGTCCAGAGACAGGGAGAGCCTTGCGTTAATCATCCCCACCAGTGTCTGTTCCCAGCTATGCCACAGAAACCTGGAGGGCAGCGACCCTGTCTGAGTCATCCCTACAACCAGCAGCATGTCCGACATTCTGCCTGGATTTAGACCCCCAATTCCCCCAGCTCAGGACAGATCACTCTTTTCCCTGAGAACAGGTCCCAGGGCCCCACACTCAGCATCATCAGCGCTTACCAAACACCAAAACCAAACAGAAAAGGTCACCCCCGGGGCCTAGTGAATGCAAACTCACAGCAGAGCCCGCTGTGAGCAGGAAAAGCAGGCAGAAGGGAAAGGCAGACAGACAGGACGGGAGGAAACGCTGAGCACAGGCTCCACAGCAGGAAAAGCTGAGCCTTAGGAGAAAGTTTCCTTTCAAAGTCCCTCCTGTCAGCTTGTTCCTTGAGCCCCTGCACTGGAAGGCGGGCAGGGGCTATAACCTGGGACCAGAAACAGCCCCCAGCCCAACCCGGCCCACTGCCTCTCACCGTGGCTCAGAGCAAAGGGTTCCCGCTTTACCTGGGCTCTCCCACCCCCACCCCGAGCCCCAAATCTCCCTGGATACCCCTTCTCGAGGGCAGGAACCTCAGGCCAGTGATCGATCATTCCCTTCAGTGAGTTTTTCCTGAACACGGACGGGCTTGGCGCCAGGTGCTGGGGGATACGTACTCTGGTGAAGACGCACACCTCCCCACAGTCAGATGGGAAGACAGGTCATCGATAAGTAATCACAAGAAAATGCCAGAAGGGGTGTGAAAGAAGCTGCCGGTACTTTAGACACACAGAATAGGGAGCTCAAAGGAGACTTGGGTTGGGAAGGCCTCACTGAGGAGGCAGTGTTAAAGCGAAACCTGAACGATGAGGGGGTGGCACTTGGAGCGAACAGCACGTCCAAGGGCCGGCCGGGGAGCAAGCATGGGGTCGTCCCAGCCTGGCACTCAGCGTGGGGGAGGGGAAGGCAGAGGTGGCGGAAATCACGGGGCAGCACCGAGAGCCTCAGCGCCTTCGCGCTGACCCAGGAGTCGCCCCTCCTGAGCTGAGGGTCTGAGGCACCGGCCACAGGGTGGGCACCGCGGCTGGCTCAGGAAAGCCCTGACCGCCCAATGGACCGTAGCCGATGCGCCCACCTTGTTGAGCCGCTGAATCTCCTTTTCCTGGTACTCCCGCTGCCGGGTGAGCGGGCTCAGCTGATCCTGCAGGTATTTGATCTTCTGGCGTAGCTCCTTGGCCTCTGCCGTCAGCTGCTCCTTGTCGGTCTGCAGGGAACACAGGACTGGTAAGCAGGGAGCCTCTCCAGGAAGCCTAGACTCCCTGACTGCCCGCCCCGCCCTGCGCGCGGTCATGCCTCCCCTCTCGCTCTCACTCTGCTGCCCCACGATGCTCATGCACAAGGCCCCAGGCGACGCACCCGGATGAGAGCGGTAATGTCTACATGGTCCTGTCCTCAAGGAAGGGGGCGCTCAGCTGAATGAAAGGCCCCGGGTTCTGCCACCAGCTCCTCCAACAGTGAGCTGAGCCCTTGGGCACTGTCCCAGCCCTCTCTGGTCTAAGCTCTCCTATCTGCCATAGGTAAGGGGTTCGTAACAGGAGTCACAGGTGGGCTTCAGAAGGTCTGTGAGCCCCTAAACCGAGCACACAATTTTTTTTTTTTTTTTTTTTTTTTCATGATATGCGGGCCTCTTACTGTTGTGGCCTCTCCTGTCGCGGAGCATAGACTCTGGTCGCGGAGGCCCAGCAGCCGTGGCTCACGGGACCAGGT